CGGAGCCTCCCTCCCTGATGTGTAGACAGAGCCAGCCTCAAAGACTTCGTCACGTGGAAGGAACATTCCGCGGAGCTCCTGGCCTGTGGTGGTGGCCGCTCAGCACCAGCTCCTTCTTTCTTATTTCCTTCATTTCTCAGATTTTTCTTCTGCTTGCCTGACTTCGGTCCCGCTTCCTGTAAGTGGGTTTTTTGCAGAGCGTCACCCTCTCCCCTTCCTCTGTGCCACACAGATGGAGCTCTCCCTGTTCTCAGCTGCTTCCCTGGTCTTCTTGCCTACTGGATGGGGACCCTTGGATCTCTCCCAGCGTGACCCAACCCCGTCCTTTCCGTGGCCCAGTCACTCAGGCTCCAAGCCCAGGAAAAGTCATACCCCCTTCTCTCCCCCCCCACCTCCCCCCAGCTAGTCCATTGTTAAACAGTCCACCCTGCCATGGTGCCACCGTCAAGTTCAAGACCTTTTTGTCCACACACAGTTGTCACAGCCTCCTAACTGGTTACTCCCAGCCACCCACCCCTGCCCATCTTCCATTCTGTACCTTCTGCTAGGAATGATTTCTCTTTATCCCATCACTTCCCTTTTCAGGAGCCTTCACTCCCTCACCATCTGCAGCCTCACTGCCAGTAGAAGTACAGTGTGAGCCATAGATGCAATCTTAGATTTTCTAGTAGCACATTAAGTAAGCAAAACATAGGTGAAATAAAGATTTTCTCTATACAACCCAAATATTTCAGCATATATGCAATATGAAATTACGAATGAGAGAGTTTCCATAGTTTTTCAAGTCTTCAGAATCCAGTGTGTGTATTTTACGCACACAGCACATCTCACTTCAGATGTACTCCAAGCTCTCAGAGCTTCAGGGTCATGGCCCAAAGCCCGTTAGCTTGAGACTTCACCATCCCGAGCCCTGGCTCAGGGTTCAAGACCTCATTCCCTGCAGCTTAGGGCTCCAGCCAAAATAGGTGCCATGCACATGCCCAGACCCACTGGACTGCTCTGTCCTGAGCCACTCCCAAGCCACTCCTGGGGGGTCCTTCCCGCCCCCGTGTCTCAGCCCCTGCCGGGTTGTGCTCAGGAGCTCCTCAGAGGGGCGCTTCTGCTGGGGGGATTCCTCACCATGCGTGTCCAGATCAGGGCCCCCCGATGCTGGAGGATTCCACAGGCTAATCCCTTTCCTAACGTGGAGTGCTAAGATTCTTTCCCTTTTTCACTAGACATGTTCAGGAGCAAAAATACACCTTTATGGTGTAGTGACCAGGCTTTGTTCTTTATATTCATTGAATATAAATGTTCCAGGTATTTGTTTCTTAATTTGAAAGATAGGAGTAAAATGCTTTCTTTTCTCTTCCTTTTTTGTTAAACCCAAACCAGCTAATAAGCAGGGTTGTTTACATCCAGGGACTCCGCTAGCTGCGCCTGGCGTGTGCCTCCCACCCTGGCGGCGGGTCCCCAGGCAGTCTCGCGTCCTGTTCTGGGCACCAGCAGGCATGACCCTGGCCTTAGTTGATGCCTGTGGGCGGCACAGGAGGTGGCGCCCCACCCTGCCCGGTCTGGCCCGCCTGCCCTGGTCGCCTTCTTTCTCTCGGGTGCCCGGGGCTGGGTGCGCTGCCTCCCCTGCGCCTGGCAGCCTGCATGCAGCCAAGCCCTCGCTGCCAGACGGTCTGGCCAGGCCCCCCTGCTGGACATGGAAGTCGCTGTAACCTCCTCCCCATCAGCACCGCGTCTCCTCTCCTTGCTCTGGCTTTCTCCACAGCACTCGGCGCCGTCACATCTTGTAGGTCTCCCTGTCTTCCCCTCCCACTCGGATGTAAATGCCACACAGGAAGGAATGCCCGTCTGTTTTCATTGGCGCGGTGTCCGTGCCGGGCATGAATGCATTTGGTGAAGAGGAGGAGGGTGAATGAATGAGTGAAAGAGCGAGCGAGCGAGCGAACGGGATGGCAGGCAGGGTTCCTGACCTCTCCGGGCCTCTGGCTCCTGGTGGGCCGTACGGGGAGAGCATCTGCCTTCCTGTGGGGAGGCGGGTGCTCGTACATTGCTGATGAAAATACAGGCTTCTGTCCTCCGTGGGAGGCAGTTGGCAGGATCTATGAAAGTTATGACTGTATATACCTTTTGACCCAGCTGTTTTCCCCAGAGCTCACCCTGCGTGTGTGTACACACGCGTGAAAACTGCCTCTGTGCGGGGCTGCCCCTTCTGCGTGCACGTCTGGCAGCGCATCCATATTGTTGAATCCTCCGCAGCCTTAGGAAGGACGAGGACGTGGTCCTTGCACAGACAGATGGGCAGACGCGGACCGCGCGCCCACACCTGCGTTGTCTGTGGACGGAGACGCTCTGGAGGAAGAAGCAGGAAGCTTAGAACAGCGACTGGGGCCAGGTGCTCTGGAGTCGAGGAGAGGCACGGGGGTGAGGCTCTCTTTTACATGCACTGTGAACGTATTTCCTACTCAAATGAAACAAAAGCTGACCTTGCAGGGTAATGCTGGGGTGGAAGAGCATGGGTGCAGAGCCCCTTCCTTGCCCGGCGCCCGGCACGCACAGTAGGTCCTCCAGTCGGAAGTCCGCACCGCTCTCCCGGTGTGCCTGCCTCGTGCCCCAGACCTGGAGGGGCCCGAGGTCCTCGCCTCGGTGGGTGCTTTCCCCACTTGTGAGCACACAACCTGCTAGGGAGAGCCCCTCCCCGAGCCGGCCCTGGGGGCCTGGGCTTGTGGTCTGCGGCGGCCCGCACGGCCTGGCCTGACTCGGGTGCCGGAGCAGAAGCGTGTGCGCGTGTAGACGCCCCCGTGGGTGTGCACGGGAGGCTCGGCGCTTTGTCCCACAGGTGCATCCGTAGCTCCACTGACAGTCGTCTCCGTGCACCTTTTTGATCAGGAACAAAGGCACTAGGTGTGTTCTGTCACCCTGGGAACACCTGCAGGAACTGGAGAGCTGTAACTGTCTTCATGCCTCACGCGTAACGCCACGTTTACTTGACAGTATTGCAATTTTGAATTCTAATGGAATTATTTTTGTTGTGTCTCTTTAAGCAGAAGATAAAATTTTCTAAGCGCAGTGCTGGAAGTTTTTAAGTCCGTCCTTAAAAATTTCCACACAGGGCAGAGGGGCAGAGGCACTCTGCTGGCAAGACTGCAGTCTGGTTGTGGTGACACATAAGGTGCAGGAAGCGAGAGCCGCAGGGTTGGGGGGTGGGGGAGGAGGGGCAGCCTGGCTGCCAGCCCGCCAGCCCGAGTCAGCATGGTAACCGCCTGACCAGGCCGCCGCCAGGGGCAGCCCGGCCCAGCAGGTGCAGCAGGGTCTGCTGGGTAGGGAAGGCCGTAAAGTCACCTGTGTCGCGTCCTGTGGAAGCAGCAGTGAAGCCAAAGGGAGAGCCTGCCAGGGTGGTTGCTGGGCTTCTAGGTTGTTGGTGTTGGAGTAGGTCAGGTGCCTTTTAGAGGCGGGTAGGAAGGGAAAGATCAGGGACGAAAATGTTGGCTGTGTCCCCAAAGCCATCTTGTGCATCTCTGCTAATTAAGAGGGCCAGCTCTGCCGTCCTACGGCTCTGACACAGGAGCAGTAAGCAGTGTCACCTGCTGCTGAGTGACCCCTGCCCGGCCCCCGGGCCCCGCGTGCTGTGCAGGGCCAGCCCTCCATGCTCTTCCCCTGCAGGGTCTAGTATTCTGTAACAGCTTGCACGGTCCATTCATCCCTTCTTTGAAAACTACGGGTTATTTCACGTTCTGTGATCTTCTGTAAGACACTGCACACCGGCACATGCGTAGGAAGGTGGCTGCGGGGGAGGGAGGGAGGCTTGCATCGGTGCCCCTGAGGCTTGGGCCAGGAATCCCGGCCAGTTCGATGAAGTGCTAGTGTTTAACTCCCCAGAGTCTGCGGGGGTCCCGGGGAGATGGATGCGGGCAGTGGGGGCAGGAGGAGTGTCTACAACTTTGAGAGTCTTAGGAACTTCTGAGTGGTTTCTGGTGATGTGACTGGGGACCAGAGAGGGGCGCTGCGAGCCCCACAGCCAGGTCCGCAAGCTGGACAGCGCCCTTGTTGTGTCTTTGGGTGGTTTTTACTTTGGCTTTTGTTCTTTGGTTTTAAAGGCAAGACTCCTGATGTGTGCTTTTTAAAGGAACAGCTGGTCAGTAGAGCAGAAATGAGCGTGGAGTACAGTGGCAGTGGGCAGGCACATATTCCTGAATTAATCGTCTGTTCGTTTCTTTAGACCCCACCTTGTCCCAGGGAAGATTTGGAGGAAGTGCTTTTAAAGAGGCGCACAGGACAGTGACTGGGAGTGAGGCCACTGGACCCAGTGGCTGCAGCAGGGTCTGCTGGGTGGGGAAGGCCTTGAAGTCTGTTGCCGCTTTTGGAAGAAGCAGTGAGGCCTAAGGGAGAGCCTGCCAGAGTGGTTGCTGGGCTGTGGTGAAGCCAGGGCCGAGGTGGAGCCCAGGAAGTGTGCTTCATTGAAGTCCTGTGTGCTGTTGCCAGCGGCCGCACGCGGACTCCCCACCCTGGAGCGGCCACAGCAGGGGGGCAGGGGTAGTCAGCACATGACTGCCATCGCAGTAAGATGCAGAGACACCGGGAGGCGTAGCGCTCCCGGCTGTGAGGACCACGAGATTTTCCCAGGGGTCTTCGTAGAGAGAATGCTGTGTGTAGGTGCTGGGAGTCACAGATTCAGAGGCTCCTGGCCTAAGAAACAAAAATGGCCTGAGGGCTGGCCCTCTGACCAGTGTGTCCCAGCGCCTAGTACCGTGTCTGGTACACAGTAGGCTCTCAGCAGTGTTTGCTGAATGACTGACTCACTCAGCGAAAGCCTAACATCCAAGTGCAATTCTAGAAAGTAATCTTACACGGGGCCCAAATGCTCTTCGCTGGCTTGGCTGACCACAGGATAGAGTGTGCAGTGCCTGGATGGACTCTTCCCTTCTCACCGAGAAGCAGACACGTTTCTTACTGGAAAAGTAGACCTTTAAAGCTTCTCCATTGTGATAACTTGTTCTCCTTTGTCTTCACAGAGACTAATAGACAAGTCACGCGTAACCTGTGTCAAATGGGTTCCCGGTTCGGAAAGCCTATTTCTAGTAGCCCACGCCAGTGGGAACATGTACTTGTATAATGTGGAGCACACTTGTGGTACCACAGCCCCCCACTACCAGCTCCTGAAGCAGGGCGAGAGCTTTGCCGTGCACACTTGCAAGAGCAAATCCACGAGGAACCCTCTCCTTAAGTGGACGGTGGGCGAGGGGGCCCTCAACGAGTTTGCTTTCTCCCCAGACGGCAAGTTCTTGGCGTGCGTGAGCCAGGACGGGTTCCTGCGGGTGTTCAGCTTTGACTCAGTGGAGCTGCACGGCACGATGAAAAGCTACTTCGGAGGCTTGCTGTGCGTGTGCTGGAGCCCGGACGGCAAGTACATTGTGACGGGGGGCGAGGATGACCTGGTGACGGTCTGGTCTTTCGTAGACTGCCGAGTGATCGCGAGAGGCCACGGGCACAAATCCTGGGTCAGTGTTGTGGCATTCGACCCCTATACCACTAGCGTGGAAGAAAGCGACCCTATGGAGTTCAGTGGCAGTGACGAGGACTTCCAGGACCTTCTCCATTTCGGCAGAGATCGAGCCAATAGCACACAGTCCAGGCTGTCGAAACGGAACTCTGCCGAGAGCCGCCCTGTCAGTGTCACATACCGGTTTGGCTCCGTGGGCCAGGACACGCAGCTCTGCCTCTGGGACCTTACGGAAGACATCCTTTTCCCCCACCAGCCGCTCTCGAGAGCAAGGACACACACCAACGTCATGAACGCCACGAGCCCTCCCGCCGGCAGCACTGGGAACAGTGTCACGACGCCCGGCAACTCCGCGCCCCCGCCCCTGCCCCGCTCCAACAGCCTCCCGCACTCCACCGTCTCCAACGCCGGCAGCAAGGGCAGCGTTGCCGACGGGGCCATCGCTTCCGGGGTCAGCAAATTCGCGACCCTCTCCCTGCATGACCGGAAGGACAGGCACCACGAGAAAGACCACAAGCGAAACCATAGCATGGGACACATTTCCAGCAAGAGCAGCGACAAACTGAACCTGGTCACCAAAACCAAAACGGACCCCGCTAAAACCCTGGGGACGCCTCTGTGTCCTCGGATGGAAGACGTTCCCTTGTTAGAGCCGCTCATCTGTAAAAAGATAGCACACGAAAGACTGACTGTGTTAATTTTTCTTGAAGACTGTATAGTCACTGCTTGTCAGGAGGGATTTATTTGCACATGGGGAAGGCCTGGTAAAGTGGTAAGTTTTAATCCTTAATGCTGCACCAGATCTAGAACTCGAATAGGTAGTGATTTTTTTCTTGCGGGAGGGTGGGGTGTACAATGAATGTGAATGGCACTTCTTACTCTTAATGTAAATCTAAATGCATCAGAGCCATAATTTTGGATACTGCATGCCATGTAATTCTGAATCATTTGATAATTCAACTTAGAATGTTTAAAAAACTATAATCAAACTAATTGCCAGCCAAGTCAGTCACCCTCCTGGGAGTATATAGAGTCCCAAGGTTAGCGTTCCTGTATTAGACGATTTCGACTTTAGGAAAATCATGACCGTGTGGGGACAGTGACTTTAAAATGCTAAAATTAAAATTTCTGCTTTAACTGGAATATTTTTGCTGAACTACTCAATGAGAATGTTGTACACCTGATGGGAGTGTGTGTTCAGTACGGACGACCATTAGTTGTCATTTATAGGCCAGTTTTTATCTTAATCATAAAATGTTTAGGAATCTATGAAATTTAACTTTAGGAACAAAGCATTCAGCAGGGTTGATTGATATTATTTTTACATTGTTCTGGCAATCCACAGAAAGAGAAGAGCCTTAATTTTTAAAACCCATTTTAGTCATTTTATGACAATTAAAATTGTTTATTAATAAACATCTTTTTTCAAAGAAGCAGTTTGTAGCACTTTGATTGAGAATCTGTGCACTAAACAAAATCCCCATACTCTGAGCCCGCTGGCTCCCGGAACCGTGGGCTGAGGGCGCCGGCCGCCGCCGGAAGTGCCCGTTGCCACAGAAGCCGAGACCCTTCACGTTGGATGCGCTTTGCTTGTGTTTTTTTCCGACAAGGGAAAGGACGTTTTGATTTCTTTCATGTGTGGTTTTTTTCTGTTGTTTTTGTGTGTGTGTGGGGGGGGTGGTTTTGTAATTGTTGTTGTTTTTGTTGATGTTGTTTTTGGCCAAGAAGGCATGACTGTGGCCCGGGACAGACTCCACAGCCTTGTGCGAAGATTGACGGCTATCCCGGGTTCCAGGCGCTTCCCAAGGTCACTGGTCTGGGTTTTATCCCTGCCCCCCACCCCCACAGCGGGGTTGGGGGGAGATGGGGGGCGCGGATGCAAGCTGGCACCTCCTCTTATTACTGGATGGCTGTCGTGGCTCCACTCGGGCTCTGTCTTCAGCGGCCTCCTGCCGGAGTGCCTCACCCCTGGCCTGGTGGCCTTGGGGCTGCTTGTGGGCAGTCGTGGGGGCAGCAGCCGTGGGAGCTCCCTCTGGCAGCCCCCGAGCTGCTTCCTCGGGGAGCTGCGGGCTTCTGTTCTCTTGCCCGTGGGCCCTGTCACCCGTATGAGGAGTTTCAAGTTCTTTGAGCTACATGTTTTCTGTCAAGATGGTGGTTCTTTTTTTTTTTTTTTTTTAATATTTTTATTTATTTCTAGGAGAGAGAGACAGCGTGAGCAGGAGAGGGTCAGAGAGAGAGAGGGAGATATGGACTCTGAAATAGGCTCCAGGCTCTGAGCTGGCAGTCAGCACAGAGCCCGACGCGGGGCTCGAACCCACGAACTGCGAGATCATGACCTAAGTGAAAGTCGGATGCTTAACCGACTAAGCCACCCAGGCGCCCCAAGACGGTGGTTCTCTTATTTGTTAACTTATTGTGGTCATTTCGGTCTGTTTCTGTCTCGCACATCTTTGTAATTAAATGTAGGGATGCTGCTCATTTACGCTGGTTTGAGTAGTGACTGTGATTCAGTCCCTCGTTCGGTGCCAGTGACAGAGCAGCGGCGCCGTGTGCTCTTCCTGCAGCCCATCCGGAGGGCCAGGCCCCGCTCCCCCCGGCCTTGCGGCTGGATCCATTCGCTCTACCCATCCTGTGCCGGAAATGCCAGGGCCTCTCCGTTACTGACAGCAGTGCTCTGCCCCACGGGCAGCCTCCTGGCCTGCCGGGGGCATCTCGCCCCTGCTCCTATTCACGCATCGTGTCCCTGGGTGTATGTTAGTGTCCTGTTGACTTGTAAGATACGGTCCTTTGTTCCTAAATGTTAATTGACCTAAGGTAGCAAAGATAACCACTCCTGTGGACCGTTTCAAGTTTGGAAGCTCAATCAGGCTGTCAGATTCGTAGCCGACGCTCCAGGTGCAATTTTACAGCGTTTTAGAGATTTCATTTCAAATGCTTCTGAGGCGTTGTGTGCAGTGTCAAAATTCAGGACTTGTATTTGGCCCAGGCAAAGAGTGGCTGATCCCAGGTAAGTAGCCTTTGTGGGGAAGCTGGCCGTAACGTTTTGGTCGTGAACGCATCGCTCCAGAGCTGTGATGTGCGCACTTTCTGTGGACCGCGCCGTTTCTGATCCCTTTCACCCCTTGGCACCGCTAGCTGCACGGGCTGGGGGGCGCTGCCGGGCGAGCCAGGAGGAGTCTGTTGGTGGGAGTCAGGGCAGGAGAGGCCAGAGGAGGAGATGATGGCTTCTGTAAAATCAGGCTCTGACATGTGCTAATAGGAGCCCGTGGTGTCTCTCTCCCCACCCCCACCCCCAGTGTTCAAAACCATGGTCATGTCACAGTTGGGGATTCGAGGCTTGGTCACAATCTTGTCCTTCCAGTTTCTGCCGTGCTGGGGTCCCCTCTCTGGGGACCTGCTGGGTGTCAGGGGCTGGGGAGGGCTGCATGGCCTGCCCTTGGGACACCCGCCCCCTTTCTTCAAGCTGGAGGAGCAGGAGTAAAGCTGGAGGGGTGGGCGGGCTCTCCCTCCCTTGGACTGGCTTCTGATAATGACTCCTGCAGCTGTAGGATGTGGGAGGCCAGCCCCCGGGGTCTTGATCTCAGGTGTGCAAGGCCCAGGGCCAAGCTGTCCCACGGTGGCCATGGGGGGCGGGGGGGCATCTGAGGAGTGATTCTGTAGTTTTCTCATTCAGACTTTGAGTTTCCTCATCGAAACTGTTTCAAGTGTTTTTGCTTAAACGTTACCCTGAGCAAGAGTATCTTTCTAACCCAACCTCTGGAATAGAACAGCTCTTGGCAAGAGGAGGCCGTTACTGCTTGGCCAGCACTTTTCTGTGGTGCGTGGTCCTTTCTGCCTGCCCAGCCCTGGCTCGCCTCTCTTCAGCCTGCTGTGCTGGGGCTTCTAAGCCCCCTGGCAACCCCAGCCCTTCTCTGAGTTTCTCCCTAACTCAGGGGCAGGGGAACTAAAATCCCTTCGAGGGCTGGAGAGAGAAGCCGTTGGAAAACCCTGCCTTCTTTTAAAAGCATACGTGTAAGACGGAGTAGGCAGACTTTTGAAAAACAATCAGTAACTCTGGGTTCTAAATTCGCTTAAATAGTGGTAAAGAATCCTAATTTTGTCTTTTGTGCTTATTGAACCTTCTAGTGTTGTGATCTGTGAGCCACTGCCTTGGAACTGAGGGTCCGCCCCCCTGATAGGAAAGGGGAGGAGAGGGGCGGGGTGATCACTGCCCCAGCTGTTCTGAAGCCTCACCTGTCTGTGCCCGCACACATGTCCCAGCGGGACCCAAGTCCTAGCTGGTGGGTAGCCAGGCCGCCGCACCCTCAGTTCCTCCACTGAATTTTTAAGACCTTGTCAAATACCGAATTTGTGCAGAAACTGGTGGAGCTGCTTTGTCAGACGTCTGCACCGTGTACGGGGTTCTCACCTCTCGCCTTGGGAGGGAGACGTTGGGTTCTTCTGTTGGGGACGCTTACAGCGCGGGGAGGGAAGCCTACGGGTCCAGGAGGGCCGGGGAGGGAATCCTTTGGGAAATCCAGAGGCTGCATTTTGTGTGTCCACTGCCCTGTCCGAGGAAGACTTAGAGCGGAGTTCCATGCAAGAGCACAGCGTCCCGCCCTGTGCCCAAGGGCCCGGCCCAGGCCCGCCCTGCCCCACTGAGGCGAAGGAGGAGACGCGCCTGGCCTCTGATCCACTGTCCCGTTGTGCGGGGTGCGTCCGTTGTTGGGGTGTCCTTCCGCAGCAGGGAGCACTGAAAAGCACTTGTGTTCAGAACCCAAGTTCAGAGCCATATGAAAATGCCCCCCCCTCAGTGGAGGGGACAGTCCCACTGGTGTGGACTCTTCATTCATTGCTGCGTCTGTACCTCTGTCACGCTCAAGCTGCTGCTTCTCCATTTCAAAGTGTAACAAAAATTTCCTGCATTTTAGAATTTCTGTACACCTAAGTTTATTAAAGACTGCTGTGTCAGGTGACAGTGTATAAAAATGTATGATTATTTACCTTTAATGAAAATCAAAAATGAAATATGTATTTCTTTTTTTATATTTTCACTTAATTTCTTGACAAATAAATTTGATAAAGAGCCTTCCTAACGTGACATGTTGGTAAATTAAGTTCTTAACTGTTAACAATAATTAACGAAGCTTTTATGTCAGTGTTGTTGGTTTCTCATGTGAAGAAAACGATGTTTTTCTGTCACTGTCTTGGGTTCTGGCTGTTGTCCCGCCCCTGTCGCCCTGGACTCCCCGCCCACACGTGTGGTGTCCCGCGGCGCTCGCGGCCTCTATGCTGCTGTCCAGAAACGGGTGCGGGTGATGCGGACGTGTAGACCGTTTCCACTCGTCCTTTTCACAGCCGGGCTTCACGGACGTCTGCGAACTGAAGCTTCTCGGTGCTGTGGAATGAAGGGCCTTGTTAACGAGAGGGTGAACAGCCGCAGGACTGTCCCCCGCTCGCCGCCGGGGCTGAGCTCCTCGTAGCTGCGCGCTCGCTGTTTGTTCTGAGCGTCCGAGGCGCTGACGCTGGCGTGTGACCCCGGTGTGGGCGGCGGCTGCTGAGTCCTGGGCCGCGCCGGGTGCGGGTGCTGCTGGGCCACGGCGTGGACACGTGAGGTTGGCCCGGGCCGCCAACGGCTTGGCGTCGTCCTGTGACCCCCGGCCGGGCCCTAGGGGGGCTGCCGTCCTGGCCTTTCCTGTCTTCCTCCCTGTCAGCTCAAGGGCGCGCTGAGGCCTCGAGGCTGCCGCGCACTCACCCTTCCGTCTCCCCGTAGACACCAGGCCCCTGCGGGGTGGGAAAAGTTAGCAGTCTCTCTGCTCCCGGGGGTGGGGAGGGCAGAAGCTTCCTGAAGGTGCTGTCCTCCTGGGTGCCCAGCGTGAAGTGTGTTGTGCGCTTTGCCTCTGATGCTAACAGGGCAGAAGAGCCTGTGCCTCACCCGCCCTCGCGGTGGCCCATGCAGATGTCCCGCCACGGTGACAGTGTGTGCGCTCCTCAGCTGGGGGTACATGTTCAGCCCTAAAACTGCGAGGTTGACAGCAAGTTTAAAAAGACACACACGTTTTAATCTTTTAAAAGTAGTTTGTTCCGTGAACGAAGACCACATCCTTCCCCGTGTCTGCCTGTCGGTGGAGACAGGTGCTTGTGGACTATGGGTCTCCTGACAAGGACAGAGCCCCCGGAGGTGCTCGGTCCCCTCCCCTTCAGCAGTGCTGGTGGCCTCCAACTAGCGTCTCCCTCTGGGTGGGGGCCCAGCGTGGCCGAGACCCTCTTGAAGCAGCTCCAGCCAGAGAGGCTTTTGGGGAACACAAGGGGGTCCCGTCTCCCTGCCGCAGGAAGGGGCACTTTCTCTCCAGCCGTAGCTCTCAGAGCTGCCCCTGCGGGGAAAGCCCAGACGTCTCACAGGAGCATCATTTTCTTCCGGTGAGTTTTCTCTTGAGGGATCAGGCTGAGCGGTCTCCCTGGGGGAACGTGTCCCCCTTGGTTTGACCTGTTGTTGGGCAGGTCACAGCTGCCACAGGGACGACGTCTGTTCACTGCCCAGCAGGAACCAAGGCCCCAGACCCAAAGTGAGCAGGCCCGGGGTGGGGAGGCACCCTTATCGGGAACCAGGCCGTGCTGTCCCCACTCCTGACCCTGGCCGTGCGGTCTGGGGCTTTGGCTCCGCCAGGCTTCCCCTGGCTCTTCATGCAGCACTTGGTGAATGTGAGCCGGGAGGGAGGGTCAGGGAAGAGGAGGGGTGCACGGCTGGGGCGTTCTGGAAGAAGTTAGTGGGTGGGATTTCTCAGTGTCACGGTGCCATCTGCTAAAGGACATCACTTTACAAATGATATTTGCCTCTAAGTCTCCGCGTGACCGAGAAGAGCTGGAGTGTCTCATGACTTAATCTTCGAGTGAAATCTCTAGCAGTGATAAAATGGCAAGTCTGATGACGAAGGACAGCTTATTAAATATTAGATTCCGCAATTGTCACTGTTCTGGTAACCGCTTCCTCCCCGGGGCCTGATGGGGTGTCATGCAGACTCACAGAGCCCGGGCCAGGGAAGATTCACTGTTTGGGAAGCTTTCATTTGCCAGCCCAGCGGGTCTGGGGGACAGACTGGCGGTCCCCACACCGCTGAGGACGACAGGCACAACTCCATAAACAGGGCCTGGTCTTTGCTCTTTCCTCCCCGTGAGAAGTAACCAGTGGGGATGCTGTGAGGCGCAAGCCGGCCTCGGGAGCACGCAGACAGATGGCGGGTCGGGGAGCCCCCCCTGCTGGGCTGCACCCCAAGCTGTTCTTACATGAAGATGGCCACCGGGGCTTCCTCCTGAGAGTGGTCCGGTCCCTGATGGGGGCCTGTGTGTGTTTGCCGTCCTCTTTGTCCCCCAGTAACCTTTAAAACTAAAGCCCCACGTATAGAAATAAGGTGACCTTGACATTTAATTTTTGTTTGAATGGCAGTCTTTCCCCGGTGCCTCCGCTGTCCATCACGGCAAAGCCAATTCCATCTCCAGGAAGTGACCGGGTGTGGGCCTGTGTCCCCCTGACCTCCCACAGCTGGTGGCGGGACCGCCCTCCTCGGCCGCCGCTGACCTGCAGTGGGCTCGCAGGCTGCCCGTGTGAGGCGCGCCCTCCCAGGAACGGCGCAGTCCCTCGCCTGCGCGCCGGGACTCGGGGTCCCCTGGGCGGGGCCGGGGTGCAGACGCTGGAGGCCCGCCGGTGCTCCTGCTTCCGCCATCCTGGCCCTTCTCCCTTTGCTCTGGTCGAGGGCTCCCCAGCGAGCCCGGGGCTTTCTCACCCACAGCCGGGCCTGGCATCCCGGGCGGCTTGCCAGCTCGGTGCCGAGGGGCGGTGCCCTGGCCGTGGGTCCCAGGCGCGCGCTGCTGCACCGCGTCCACCTTAAAGACTGGTTCACCAGGGGTGACGTCAGAAGGGCTAACAACCCTGCTACCCAGGGCCTGCGGCTCCCTGGACATTTGGCAGCGGGGGTCACTGTGAGCGAGGATGGCAGAGGCTGCGAGGAAGGGTGGCTTTGAGGCGGTCACTCACTTAGGTGACCTTCACGGTCTCCTTCGAGCCTGGGCCTCACGGCCAACAGCACAGCAGGGCGGCTGTTCCTGTGGGGACAGGAAGCTGGAGCGCGAGTGCGTGCGGGAGGAGAGCGGGGTCCTGCTGCAGGGCCCGGGGATGGCCCGCCATAGAGGCGCAGCCGCGCGCTGATGTCAGGCCCGGGAAGCTGGGCCCCGAGCCACCTCTGCACCTTAGCACCCGCCCTCCGCCGGGACTGCACCCTCAGAACTGGAGAGGGTCTAAGGTGTGTCCGGGGGGCGGGGCGGGGGTTCTGGGCGGCCAGGCCCTATCGGCACCACTGCTGTCAAGGGCCGCCTGCGGCCACAGAGCCCTGGGAATTGGGGGGGGGGGGGGGCTAAACGGAGATGTGCTACACAGCACGCCTCAAAGGCTTCATGGGGAACAAGTAACGGAAAATACATCATTCATAATTAAATTATGTTAAAATGATAATATGCGATATGTTAAGTTAAATATATTAATTTCACCTTTTTTCTTTTTTGCCTTGACCTTGTGTTGGACAAGGCTGGTCTAGAGACACCACCTTCCCTAATGTGTGTGTTGGGGGCGGTGGGGAGTGCCTTTCTCAGAGTGTCCTTGGGATTTAAGTAACTGCGCACCCGCATCCGCGGGGCAGGGGCTGCGGCTCTGGCCCCAGACTGGCCGCGTCCCCCCCCAACCCCGTAGTGGGAGGAGCCGAGCACCTGTCTGCTTCCGGGAGAAGACGGGCGTCTTCATTTTGTAGCCGTGTCGCTGTTCAGAGACACTCCGTAGCTCCCGGAAACCACCGTCAGTTCATCAGACTCACCCGACTCCTTGACGAGGCGGCGGCGCTGCCTCATGTTCAAGGTTTCTTCACGCCAGTGCGTCGCCGCGGGAAGGGAGTCGGGCCTTGGCGGCCTCCCCGCCGCTCCGTGGAGGCCGTGAGGAGGCCGGTTGGTGGCTCTCCTCCCCTGGTGGCCCGGCTGCCCTGCGGCCCCTGGTGGGTCCGAGTGGGGAGCACAGGGGGCGCTTCACCACCCGCGTCCGCCCAGGCTCGTGTTCCTTTTCGGGAGCAGCCCCGGGTCCCAGGACGGGCTCCAGAGCTGGTCCGGACTGAAGGGGGGGCGGGGGGCCGGCGGCTTCCCTCCGGCCGGGCGTGGGCACAGCCGCGCAGCCGTCCCCGCCGGGGTGTCCGCACGGGGGCAGTGGGTGAAAACGGCCGTGACTGCGTGGAGTTCAAGGCTCGTCGTGGGTCAGCAACCAACCGGAGGACGCATTTTCTAGGACAGCTCAAGTCTGTGCTCACAGAACCGAAAACCTGTAGCTTCAGCGCTGCTCTCTCGTAACCTTAACCTTCCCTGTAGTAACCGCCCGCCAGCCCGCGACGGAACTGCGTGCAGCGGGGGTGGGTGCTCTGCGCACGCGCACGCGCCCCCGCACGCGCCCCCACGCACGCCCCACGCACGCACCCCCGCACGCGCCCGCGTCGCGGCGGTGGCCCAGCGCACCCCTGGGTTGCCGGCGGCCTCCGGGCCTCTCGGGAGGAGCCACCGCGTGGCCCCCACCCCGCCCCCTCCCCGGTCCCCACCTGCAGCACAGCCCGTGGCGGGGGTGGGCTGCGTCCTGGCCTCCCCACCCCCGTCCTGGGGACCTCGGGCGCGCCTGAGCCGCGGCCTCTGGGGACGGCGGCGAACGGCCGCCCGCGAGCCGCTCCTCGCCTCTGGGCCCGCCACGTCCCGGGGACCCCAGGCCGGCCCTGCCCACCGCAGGACAGCCGAGGGGGGCCGGGGCCGGGGGCTCCGGATGAGTCGGGAGTGTCACACAGCACGTGAGTAGGAACGAAGTAGACGAGGCTGGAGGGTCCCCAGACCCGCTGACAGGCCCGCGGAGTAACTTCGCTCGCGCGAGCGGCCGCGGCGGCGGAGTGCGGCTTTCTCGGCTGCCCCGTGTTTTGCTGGATTAATGTAAACTGCTTTGTTTGCAGGGTTTATTGTCATCCCAAACCCAGGCCAGCTCTCCAGGCGGGACGGTAGTGTGGTGACCCCCGCGGTCCCCAGGGAGCGACGGACGGAGGCGGGAGCCCCGAGCGCGGACCGAGGAGGCAGCTGTCACCCGGAGTCGTGGGAAGCCCCGCGGGCCGCCGCGAACCGCCTTGTCTGCCGCTCACCGAAGCGGCTGTTGCTGTTTTTAAATCCTGCTTGTGGGGCTGCAGCAAAAAATAAGGAATGGGATTTTCTTGCTTTTTACTCCAAAGTTCAATGTAATTAAAATCTCATATATATATATGTATAAAGTTATACATACGTACATAGTGTAAAATAAAATGTTTCTTGGACAAGAAATCCTCTTAACTGTTGTAAACAGTACTTCACTCTGGTTTTGCACTGATGTTTCTATACTTGGGTGGTCAGGAGGCAGCCCCCAGCGCTCGCGAAGAAGACTGTCACTTTCTGACGGAAATACGCCATTCAGGAAGGCGGATGCTGCGATCTTAGGTCTTCACAAATTGCACTTAAAATAGTTGAATGCTGTTAGGAAATTACTTTAAATATGGGCCTCACAGACTCACGGCCCTCCAGGGTGTGAAGATGCTCTTTTTAATCTTAACATTTATTTTAATACTGTTGTTTCCAGTGCAGTCGGGCTCTGTATTATATGTACAAATAATGTAATTCTGCTACTGGGGGACATGGCTACTTCACCAGTAATTTTCATCAATTTAAGAGTGATGTTTCTAATTCATGAAAACAAATATTAATATTAAAACTATCTTGAATATACCATTTGCTTTATCTTTTGTCAAGTTGGCTCAGTTTTTTAATGTAACCTTTTGTTCAATTAAAGTCTGGTATAAAATTACCCGCCCTCTTCCCACCACGTTCCGGGAAGCGCCCGCTGCGGTGCCCAGGACCGGCTGCTCGAGCCCCGCGCGGCGGCGGCGGCGGCGGCGGCTGCGGCTCCGCGGCCCGGCTTCAGGCCCACCGTCGCGGCCACCTTGTCCGCACGTGTGCGGACGGGCTGCAGCGAGTCCTTCCTTCCGGTTCCAGGGCCGTGTGTCGTTGGAGGCCTGTGAGCGCGCGGCCGTCGCCTCTGGGGAGCGTGGAGGGCTCCGTTCGCCCCGGGGACTAACCGGCCTGGGATCCCGGAATGCGCGTTTGGTGAAAAACCGGCGGGAACCGCGCGGGGCGGAGGTGGTGCCCACAGCCACCCGCTCGGCGACCCTACAGCCGCGAGAACCACAATATGTGCAGCGACCAGCAGGACATGCCGTTTTAGAAACTCGCACACAATGGCACCCTCCGAAGGCATTTTTCTTCGGCGCGGCTGTAAACCACGAAGCGCGGGTCTGTAAGCGGGCACGTCGGTCTGGGGCAGGTCCGCACGATCTAGGTAAAAAATGAGCGCAGGCCCCCCGAGACACGCACTGTTTTCATCGATCCTGTGAGCGCAGCCATAGGACTGACGCTTCGCCCCAGGCCGTGGCTGCTTCTCAGAGGAGAGGTCAGGTACCGCCGCTCGCGGCGTCCCAGGGACGTGCGCTTTGGGGAAGGTGAATACCAGGAAAAACAGACACCTGTTGTTTTAAGTGAAACAATCAGAATGTATACATCCTGTGCATTCAAAACGCCCTGCATGTTAAAACCACATATTCTAGATAGTTGGTATCTTGAGCAAAGCGCGGGTTTCTAGGCATCAGTGACAGACCTCAGCCACGCAGGTGCACAGACGCACAGGGAGGCCCACGAACTGCCAGAGGTCGTTGAGGGCCGCCTCGGGAAATGAAGTCCGGAGTTCATCCTGTGACCCCCCTGGGGTCGTCTCTGTGAAGGGACACGTGGAAAGCTGGTTGGTCCCAGGACTGTTAAAATTCGGGCACAGAAGGCCAGGCTATGTTCCCAGCTTTTCCTGGCCCCAAGAGTCACGGCTCTCAAAGTGGGCAGGCCTCGCTCCGTCCGCTGTCACCCTTCGGTCGGGCTCTGGAGCTGACCGTCAGCTGTGTCCCAATTTGCCATAGGTGCATCTGTACCACCAACAAATCCTTATGGCTCTGCACCTAAGATCAGTCCCCGGCCCCGTAGTCTAAGCTGGCTTCCAAAGTCAGACTGCCTTGTGACCGCCACCACGGCCACGCAGCAGGCAGCGGGCCCTGGGCACAGGGCACCTGGGCCAGGCTCCGGCCCACCACAGCCACAGAAGCCAGGGAAGGAGGTGGCCATAGGCCCGGCTCACCTGGTACAGTTTATGCTTCCTTTCACTTCTTGCCTTGAGCTTTCCGGGGCTTCTAGAAGGAGCTGGTGAGCGCATGCTCCGCGGTGAGGACAGGTCTCAGGGAAGCTGAGAGGAGGAAGGTGGCCCGGGGAGAGTCTGGCTCAGCCCTTGGCCCCCGCAGCAAGCTTGCGGGCTGGCCACGTGGCCTGGCCAGAGGAAACTGCGCGCCCAGGGGTGTCCCCAGCACTAGGGGGAAGGGGGGCAGCAGAGCCCAGGACACTTGGGTGGCATCGCCTCCACTTTTTCTACTCCACAAGCAGGACGACGACGCTAAGGCGCTGTTGGACTCGGAACCCTCGGATCGGCACCCCTGGCTGCGCCCTGGCCATGGGTGCCCGCGCCCCAGACGCCCCCTCTCGGGCTGGGAGCGGGTGAGCCAGGTGGATGGGGGGGGAGGACTTCGACCCCCCTTCCCTCCTGGGGCTCCGTGGCGGCAGCTCCTGTGCCCGCGAGCCACTGAATAGCGTTGCCTGTGGAGGCTCAACCTCCTTCATAGCTTCTCCATCGGGAGTGAGCCCCCGGCCTCCCGTGCCCACCACTGGGCCGAGAGCAGGCGGCTGTGTGCGGGCACCTAGCGGGTGCGGGGCGCCCCAGCGCGGCCGGCGGCATCATCCCGCCCTCCGACCTGGGGGGCGGTGGATTCGCCCTTGCGCGGGGCTGGACCAGCCGTGGCCACCCCGGGGCCTGGTGTGGCTGTGTCACGGCGCTTCTACTCCAGAGACCAACGCTGAGCCGAAGAGCTTCATCTGGTGGACAGGTCACCGCCCCCACCCCCCTGCCCCGCAAGAGCCTGGCCTGCCCCAGAGAGGCCCTCCGTGGGGAGGGACAAGTCCGTTTTCTCAGAAAGGCATGTGGGAGAACGTGACAAGGTTTTCCCCTCAAGTTTATATACCCTTAAAGGAGGTAACAACTTTCCTTAACTCCGCCGTAGAGCCAGTCCTCGAGGACAGGAGCCCGTCCCTGCTGAGCCGCTGCCCCTTGGGGACCTGGTTCCCGGCACCGCCCCTGCCTGGGCTCACCTGCAGCGGGGCCCTCTGCCATCCCCGTGGCTGCTCGCGTCTCCCCGGCCTCCCTGCCTCGGCTCCTTCGGGCCTCGCAACTCCCAGATCCTTCCGCAGAGGCAGAATAGCGCCCTGCCTGCCTGGCCAGCGTGTTAAACGGGTTCAAAGGAAGCTCTTTTCAAGCCCTCGCCGTGTGCACCCAGCTCTCAACATCCCCGAGGTCCAGTCTCTGGTCTTGCATCTGCCCTTCTTGGGCACCTCTGCCCCCACGCAGCCCACACCCACCCTGCCTCACACACGGCCTTCGCCTGCCCCTCCCGAGGCTGCCGCATCCAGCTGCTGACTCCCCTGGGACCCCTGGCTCTGCTCCACCACCTGCCAGGCGGGTCCTGAAGTGGCGGCCACCAGAGAAGAAGGTCACAGGCTCATCTCAAAAGAGGGAACAAGAAGACTGAAACTAACCTGGGAAATTTTTGTTTGTTTTTAACGTCGTAAGCCTGTGAAGACGAGAAAACGGCGGCATCGTTTCCACACGGGGACAGCTCGCTGCTGGCGCCCTGGATGCACGACGCAGCCGCCGGGAGCACCTCTCTCTGGTCACGGGAGGGGCTGCAGCCCCGGGGCCAGAGCGTGGCGGCTGCGGTGCAGCCAGGCTCCCTCCAGCCTCCTGCGCCGGGCGGCCTCCCTGCCTGCAGCTCCCCGCGGGCGCCACGTGCACCGGGCACCCAGGCCAGGCCCCGGTTTATTCCTTCCGGGTTTCTCAAGTGCAACAAAATGAAGCCGTACCAAAGTCTTCCCAACAAAAGAAATTCCCCAAATATGTTCACAATAACCTAAGATACAGAGATGGATGGTCAGGACGTATGTTAAAGTCAGGAAATATTAAAATATTGTAACGATAACTCATTCTTTAATAAAGCTCCGACGGCACAGCCTGTGCGCTGTAACGTAGGCCATCGGTGATGCCCTAAAGGGGGCACAGCACAGGGCCTGCGGTGACGCCAAGCCTAAACACACAATATAAATTCTGATTTCTCTTTGGATTCAGGTAAAAAATTACAAAATATTCTCTACCCCCAATTCTTACGTTACAAAAATGAAATAAAACCTCCGAAAGAGGTGGTTTTACAACGTGTTCGGCTGGGACACAGCACAGCCGCTCTCTGGATGCAGGTCCCGGCAGGCGGGGGGCCGCGGGCACTGCTCTCCGGGCGCCAGGCCCCGGGCGGAGGTCGGGGCTCTCCCCGGAGGCCTCCATCCGAGGCGCAGAGGTGGTCCCGGCGGGGCCCAGCCGCACGCGCTCCCGCGCCCCAAGCAGGTGACCGGCACGCGCTGCTCAGCACCCTCCTCCTCTCCGTTCTATGGCGGGCAGACGACAGTGTTTCACGTTAGGCTTCGCGTCCTTCTGCGGGTCTGCCTGGCGGGGCAAAGGGCAGACGTTCAGTGGAGGCCGCGACGGGCGCCAGGCGGTAGCTACGGGCCGCTAGCGGGACAGGCTACCTTCCGGCTGGCGCCGACACGCTTCAGGGGCCTCAGCACCGGGCCTCTCCTGTTCGCTCCCGGTCCGAGCACGGAGTGCAGCGCGGGGCTGGAGTACGTCCCTCCCGAGAGCTTCAGTTTGGGCAGTTCGGTCAGGCAGGCCGCTCCTCGTCGCGCCGGAAGGCCCTCCTCTCGCTTTAGGGACTGTTTCTTGAAACAGAACACAGGCCAGTTGAACACACAATGGGGTCCCCCTTATGGACACTGGAAATACGACAGGGGCTCTTTTGCGCGACTCTGGCCTCATCTAATTGGACCAAGAGGTACGACCACACGGTGCAGGTGACAGGGCTGCTCCCAGGGCCCAGCAGGGGGCGGCAGGGCCTCTGCACGGAGTCCTCAAGCCCAGCTGGCCGGTGACGGGGACGGCAGCGCTCCAGGGTCCCCAGTCCCCACCCTAACTCCCCGACAATGGGCACATCGCCTGTGGCCTTGCTTTTGTGTGGCTTGTATGCTAAGAATTTTTTTACACTTTTGAAGAGTTGAAAACAACTTCATGGCACATAACAATTACAGGAAATCCCAATCTCGGTGTCTGAAGTTCTAGTGGAACACGGCCCCACCGTCATCTACGGATCGGCTGTGGCACCAGAGGGAAGAGGGTGGTCGTGACAGGGCCTGACGGCCCACAAAGCTGGGAAGCCTTCCTACGTGGCCCCTGTAGACACGTGGGACCCTCAGTGGGGGCCGGCAGCAGTGACGCCGTCAGACAGAGGGCTGGCCAGGAGGGAGGGCCGGGCAGGGACCGCAGCTGGGAGTGAAATGAGGGAGGCTCAGGTGGGGGTCCGGGTTCGGGGCCTGAGCAGCTGAAGGAGGGCTGCGTCCACCCTTAAAGGGAAGGCGTGGGGGGAAAAGCAGGTTTGGGGGAAAGACCGGGAGGTTGGGTCTGAACAACCTGTCCTGTGAGCCACATGGGGGCGTCGGGCAGCAGTCTGGAATTTCAGAACCTCAGCTCCTAGTGTGTACAGACGTTCGGTAAATGGCGGGACAAGTGACAGGGGGCACAGTCCTCACGAAGCGCGGGGCCAGCCCGGAAGGTGGAAGGGGGGCGCCGGGCAGCCGGGGCCGTGTGGGGCCAAAGGAAGACAAGAGGGCGCTGCTGTTTCTACAGCAAACCATCTGGGCCCAGGCCGGTGCTCACCTGTGCCTGCTGCGCCCCTGCGGACGTGGGGGCGTCACTGGCTAGCAGGACACCTGGGCCAGCGTGGCCTCTCTGTGCCCCGTGCTAGAGGCAGAGCGCATGGACAGAGCACCTGGCACCCACGCATGGGAGACCCAGCTCGCCAGGCCTGCGCACACGGGGCGCCGCACCCGCCAGCCGGACGGAAAGGGCAGGCGTGGCCAGAGCCCGGCTCCCTGCCTCTGCCGAGGGCGGCGTCCTCTGAGGTGACACGGGCCACCTGAGGGCCTCCGTCCCAGCTACCAAGACCACTTCCAGCTCCCTGACATCACTTCGTACCTGTTTCCTGCCCTCCTTTGAAACCTGCCAGGCGTTACTGAGCAGGTCTGGAGCCACGGCGCATTCTGGAAAGACAGCCTTCCTGTGGCTGCCCAGGGCCTGCTTCTCAGCTGCCCTGCAGGAAGGAGAGGGCAGCGCTCCCCTGAGAACGTGCACGACCATTCGGCCTTGCCGCTACCGCTTCCACGTCAGCTGTTCTGGGAGCCTCTTCCCTCCTCTGAGGGCCGAGGGTTCGGTGCCTCGCGGGCCCTGCCGCCCCAGCAGGCCAGTCAGCCGGCACCCGCAGCTCGCACTGGCCGGAGCGCACGGGGCGGGGAATGAGATGCCCTCGGGCAGGTGCCAGATGCCAGCCCCTCCCAGCCCTATGCGGAGGTCCCCTTGCCGACGCTGACGGGCACCACCCCTCCCGGGGCCCGGGCCTCAGCCTCGAAGCAGCCACAGAACCCCCCATGGGCCCTGCCGTGGAGCCACTGAGGCCGCTCCAGAAAAGAGTGAGGCGGAAGTTCCAGGGCCCCTGAGTTCAGGACAGAGCTGTTCCCAGACCCACCTGCCCCCCGTGTGTCCCCCAGGTCTCCACAGCCAGCTCCCTCCCCCGGAAGGCCCCAGGAGCCCACCTCTGGTCCTGGAAGGAGGGGTGCTGCAGGGCCTGGTGGGCGGTGATTCTGTCGTCGGGGTCGTAGGCCACCATTGAGTGCAGGAGGGAGAGGCATTTCGAGGACAGAGTGGCTGTCAGGAGAGGTATTCCTGATCCCTTTTTAAAAGGAAAATCAAAACTCATAGCTCTCGACCTGTGAAAGCCCAACGATAATAAAGGATCATGCCGTTATTTAGAGCACCTGCCAACTCCTCACGACTCCACAGGGACCTGCAGGGAGAAGGGGGGGACCTGCAGGGAGAAGGGGGGAACCTGCAGGGAGGAGGAGGGGGGATCCTGCAGGGAGAAGGGGGG